GTATAGGTTAGTCCTAGTATTTTATTTTTAAATCTTTTTCTTTATTATTATAAATCAGAAAATTATGTCTTTTTTTATTAAAATATGTACGGGAACTTGCTCTCTGGTTTTTCGAATTATATCAAGATTTTTCTCCTATAATTATTTAGTTGTTGGAACCATATTCCATGAGAAGAACTAATTTTGTGATGACCTGGGACTTAAAAGGAAATAGAATCATAAATTGAATGCGGAAGCAAAATAATAGAGTTAAGGTTTATATTCCTTACACAATAATTTAGAATACCCAATAGGATTATAAGAATAACCCTTCTAAAAGAACAACGAAAAATAAAAAAATAAATAGAAAGTAAACGACTGGGCATCTTATTCACAACCCTTTTGTGGATTGGAATCTGGATCTTGGTCCTCTTGATCTGAAATATTTAATGAAAGAGTGAGCTACACTAGCCCAGTAAGAATGTCACAATACTCACCGATACAGAAATGAAGGTTAGTAAAAATTATAAAAATAACTAATTGAGCTCTTAATTTAAGTAAATTCATTTATTATAAATAAAATCATTTACTACATACTTACCGTGACGAGATTTTTAAAAAACGACTTATAGAGGTAATAACACAAAAACATCATAATTTCATATTCAATTAACCAGAACAACAACTTTTCCTTTTTATCTACCTACTGGTATCCATGGGGGTCCATAGGAATATCCTCACTATATAACGACCTCGAAATTTTAAAGGGAAATGTATATATATAAGAAAAATTCTAAGTGCGGAAGCGAAATAAAAATTTTGATTAATATCCCTTAACAATAATCCAAACGTACTAAACGTATGAAAGAATAAACTAAATAAAGTAAATATTAGAGATGAATGTTATAAATAAAACTATGAAATCTTTAGACATCTACTCGCCGTCAACCTGTGGGACGGGCTCGGGAACCAAGTCTTCCTAATAAGAAATAGTTAAGTAAGGAATGAGCTACACTAGCCCAGTAAAGACATCACACTATCTCACTGTCATAAAAATAAAGGTTGGTAGAAAACAAAAACGACCAATGGAGCATAATTTATAACAAATTCATTTATCAATAATAAAAACCTTTACTGTCCACTTACCTCGGTGAGATTCATGAAAACATCTTATGAAAAACAATAACATTATAGACATCATAAGATCATGCACACTCTGTAACATAACACATATCATACTTTTGTATTTCAATCATCAGGCAACAAATTTCCTCTTTTATCAGCCTACTAGTATCCATGGGGATTCATAGGGGGTCCCTACTACACATGAACCATTCACATTAATAACTTAATTCCAAGGCCGTCCCCATACCCCGTCCGATATGGACGCCAAAACCATAAACCTCAATACCCCGTCTAGTATGAGGGTGAAACGGGCCGTCCCCATACCCCATCCGGTATAGGGGCCAAAACACATAAAGTCTCCATATCCCATCCGATATGAGAGACCACGTTCCCGGTAGGGTTCCCTATGGACCCGGTCCGTCCACTATCTCACAGGATATCTAGTTAGGCTGTCGACATTATCCATTTATTAATTCACATACATTTTTTCATTTTTCTTAGTCTCAATTATCCAATCAAACATAAACACGTAAACTAGTAATGGACACCAAACAAGACAACATAACATCGGGTTCACAATAATTCAAACTATAATAAATGAATCCGTGATTCATGCATACGAAACTATAGAACAAACACATCAGACACCATACTGCATTTAAAACTGTAAAATAAATCAAACAACAACTGACCAAAAAATACATCAGATTCGGGCTCCATTAGCAACCTTAATTAATTATACATATCTATTAATTCATAACATAGCATTTTATCATTTATTAAGCTTTAATGGCGTAATAGGAAATAGGATGAGTGATCCTTACTTGTTTCGGCGTCTGAAATCGGATTCTCACTGCGCCTACGGGCGACTTAGATTCCCTGAATTTTTTTCTGGGAATTGAAACCCACTTTCAGTACCTGCACATGTCCCGAAAAAATTCAAAATCAGACCCAGGGCCTACTCGGCCAATTTAGGAATTCCAGCACAGCGACGGCGCCGCCGCCCACGGCGGCGATCTGCCTCGGGTTGGCCGTTTCCAGCCATTTTCGGCCGTATTTAGCTAAACTTATATTGGTTCCTGTGATAAAACACCCCTAGGGCTCTTGGTGGGCCAAAAAATTCTAGAAAATTGAGATTTACCAGCGGCGAAGCTCTCGGGTGTGGTAGCTCCTCCGGCACGAGTTGCGATTTGGTGTTTTGCTCCGGTCAACCTCGTTTGGCGGCCGAAAAATCCTCTGGTGCGGCGCTGGCTGGCGGCGGCGGGTTCCTCTGGTGGCTGGGTCGTCTTCTCCGGTGAGGGTTCTGGCGGCTAGGGTTTGGGGTTGGGTGTGGATGCGATTATTTATAACCTTCCCCTTTTAATCTGAGTCGTCCATCACGATTTAATTTGGGCCATCCGATCGGGATTAAATTAGAAATAAATCTGGACCGTTCATCGCGATGCAATCTGGACCGTCTGCACGTGTGAGATCTGGACCGTCCATGCGCG